CACACCAAATACGGTTAACCAAATGGATGGTTGGGATGCGTACAGCATACGTACATCCAGCTCTTTTCATTAACCCGCTAGGATGGACGAGTCATCCTTGGCGTCGTAAATATCCAACAGCGTGGCCGACATTCTTGCCAGAAAAAAACACTACTGTATCGCACTATCAAAGGATGTAGATCCACATTGACAACGTGAAGTAACACTTGCAGTACGGTGGATTGATACGGCGGATTGATACACTGCGCGACAGGCAAGACAGGAAAAGCGTTAAGGAAAGCTGAATACCATGCAAATTAAGCAGAATAACCTTAAGGATTTCTACCACTGTTAATTATTTGGAGTATCATATTCACCATATTAGCCTAAAATATTATACTTGAAGTTTGTTTGTGTTTATTCCAAACTGCGAGGATCGAATATATATATATAAGCCAAATCCGCTTCCACAACACCCCATATTACAACGAAGTGGGGTGAACATACCTTCCATTAGTGGGATAACCCCATTTCAAGTGTTTTACAAAATTCGATACAAAAAGCTCCCATCTAAAATATTTTTTAAAAATATAATCTATTTTTAATATGTTTTGGATTCATTTCCCATCGCGAGTACTATCCAACGCTTTTTGAACCACATGTAAAGACGACTACTCCGACGAGAATCGATGCGAATTCGATTGCACACATGCCCGTATTATAAAGAAATAGTGTGAAACTTCAAATAGTGTGATAGCCATACAAACGACCACACAATATGTACCTCGTTGTGAGTCAACACTAAGATGCCTTCCAAGCCAGGCAAGGCCAGGTAGAACGACAAGTCGGCGGCGGTGTCCGTGACCACCCACTTGAACGGCATGCAGTTCCAGATGTACTGGACTTCATGGGGTTCGCGGCGCCGAGTACGCCCATTTTCACAAACGTGCCTAGTAGTCGGAATGTCCATAAGACGCGGTGGCCACAGGGATGGACAGACGACAGACATATGTACATGCAACAGAATTGCGTCGGGTTTGGAACAGCACGCCGTCGCCGACGCGAAGATGCAGGGACTGAAAGCGGCGCGCCACGGCGGTGGCGTGGACTGCGTAGTCGGCCCATGTGTGGCCGTGGAGTTGGTGGGACGGAGCCGAGTCGGACGT